TAAGTTAGTATAATATATAATATTTATGAACAATTATCCCTTATTGGCTGCCTTTTCGTAGCATGTGCGAATCGACGACAGTCAAACTATGTCTTTTAAAAAATGCCATTAGAACTCAATTTATTAATGAAAATTGAAGAATTGCCATCAAAGAATAATAAAAAGGTATCAGTATTCAGTATTTTATTTATATTTTTTTTATATTTTAGTATAAATGCTAGAAGGCCATCCATTGTGGGGGGAGGAGGAGGTCTGAAGTTATTAATATGGGCGATTCTTACTTATTGCAATAATCAAATGGTTTGATACTATTATCATTAACATTCTAATACAAAAATAATCGATCGCTAGTTCACAAATTAAAATGAAACCGCTAATTTCATTTATTCATTTCGTAATACAAAATGGATCTATTTTCCAGTACAGTGAAGTCTACCTTTAATGAGGATCATTACTAGGTCATTAAATCAACTCAAAATCAACAGTATAATGATCTAATTGGTTGCAATTTTAAAATAATTTTATGGTAGCCAATATTAACCGGCGGACGAAACGTATAACGTCACAGAGCTCGATTGTGGTTGACTCTGATCGAACTTAAGTAGGGTCTTTACGTAAGCTCGCACCCGAGCGATAGAGCTTTGTGACGTCACAGCCACCACCCGGCCAGCCAAAAATTCGTTATGGAATCCTTAGCTCTATAAATCTGCATTCTTAACTTAAATCATTACGGATCCTCATTGATATTCTTAGTAATAAGCAAATGGTTACTGATTTGCGAACCTCTAGTTCGTTCATTCTGTCTGCCATACAAAATTCAGCATTTTCTCTCGTTGTAAAGATTACTTTTAGTTGATAGCAAAAATAGTTAAGACTAATATCGGAATAATTGTAAATTTTCTATGGTTTGATGATTCAATTTGCCACAAGAAATTGGGTATTTTATTCTAAGTAGGTTCTGCTGATAGACGAAGTTATCTTAAAATGTGACGCAATATACTGTAATACAGTTCTTTGTGTTGGGAACTTTTAATGAAAGTTTTCCTATAAGTATGCAATACATAGGTATGAATAATGTTCTTTGTAGCGATTCCCATTGTCACCATTTGTAAAATCGCTAGGAAAAATTTAAAGAAAATCTCTTGCCAAGCTATGAATATGCACCCAAGTTTCCGGTACCCAAGGAATGCCGTGACAATCTGTGACTCTGTGACTCGTGCAACAAACAGCATAAATGAATATTTGTGACAGAATTTGCAGCTGCAACGGCGGTTCCGAATGAAAACGTCCGGTCCAAGTTAGCTTGTAGCAATACCATAACTGAATTTACTTGCTCAATTCGTACTCCTTGCAGTTAATCAAATTGTATGCAGTCTTTCTCCCTTCATTCGTCTCTGTATAATTTATTATTTTATTTTCAATTTCATAAAAAGATTAATTGTCGTTTTTGTTGTCTAAATCCCAAAATTCCCGATAGGGCTCTCCCTACTATGGCTTTTATTTACGTTATTCATGAAATATAGTGACAATTAAATAAATTATTTGAATGAAATTTGAAAAAAACAGTAGGTCAATATTGAATAAGCATGTAGACATTATTATTCAAAACAATTAAATATTTACACTTTATCCTTCTTGATAGATCATAATATGATGGGGGAAAACAACCAAATAGGAAACATTTTTAAGTGCTTCAGTTTCAAACAGTTCTGTTACCGAATATTTTCCGTCAGGATAGTTGTAAACAGTTGCTAGATACTGGAAAAAGTTTAAAAGATTAAGAAGAATTTTAATTATCATTGTATACTTAGAAAAGAAATTGTATACGTAGAAAATGTTAAGTTTAGTATCATATTTTTTTTATATCGAAGATTATAACCTTGTTTGTGAATCTGTGGTGGATTCAATATCAGGTTGACCTACGCGCACTACAGCCACATTCAGAAAATTTTGAAGAAATCTCATCTGCTCAATTTTCTAAATTACGGCTGTGATCATCCCAACTTTTTCATCAAAACTTTTTTCATAACAGGTAGATCACTTATCTAATGAGAAAATGGAACACATATTTGGGGAGAGTCTTATTATAAATCTTCATAGCAGTTTTTTTTTGCTTCGTAGTATTTTTACTCGTTTGTCATTGTACTACAGCTTCTAATAAACTAGTTACATTTAATATAAAAAGTTTTTTTTTAAATTAAAGAATACTTAATAGATAGACTTATAAAATCAAAAAAATAAAGTGAAATATACGATTTATGTATTCTTGTAAGCTATTATTATCAATATACTAATATTGTTCAAGTTTAAATCATTTATTGCACTATCACATGGAAAAAAAATAATATCACAACATAAAATAAAAAAAAAACAGTACACGTGATACCTTGCAGCAGTGTTTGCAATGGTACTCTATTATAATTACTTGGAACTAATTAGGTTTTATAACATTAGCCTTGCGTTCAAGAAACGTTACCTCAATTAAAATTTCTCAACACATTTTACCCGAAGTTAATACAGTAATTAGGTATATAATTTGTAAACAGTCCATTGAAACATTATACATTCATTTGATTCTCCGCACTTAAGGGGGCACTATGTTTTAATTTAAAATTTATCACTGATTATTCAATTTGAAACATTTATAACTAACTTAAAAAAGAAAAAGTTTAACGAAAAATTTCCGGTAGTATGTACTTACTAGTTAAGTTTTAAATTAATTAATATTGGGAAAGATTGTGTGCTATCTCAAGGAATTTAACAACAATAACTTTGTTATTCTATAATATCACGCGAGGTAACAGTACTTTGTTGTCCTTTGAAAACTTAAGCTACTTCTGTAATGGAAATGGTTGGTGATTCATAAGAACGCAGACATAGTGAAACATAATAAAGAAAATTAGACTACTTATTTTATTATCACAATAAGAAGTTATAAATATCTTTCAGTCTATATAGTTATAAATATCTGGTCTGAGTAAAATTAATAAAATCGTTTTTGAAGGTATATAATAGACTTCTGTAATGTATAATTACTCTACGTTTAAAAATTACCTGCGTATAATAAATAATACACTACTTCTTCGAGTGCCCAACAAGTGAAGATTACACTATTGCTTTTTTGTGTCGCTGACAACTAGGGAATTCGGTGCAGTGGTTTGCCGTTTCCTTTTGCACCGGACTTTTAGCAGATTATTTCGTACCTAAGGTAACCGAAGCCTCTTTCGACCAGAAGAATTACTTTTAGCCAGGTGTATGACTCGGTCGCCAGAGCTTTGTGTGTAATCTAGCAGGGGACACCACGACAGTCAGATGACTTCTCTGATAATCCGGAATAAATTACCAAAGCGAGCAGGTGAAGTTGACTTTTGGGGCCAGCTACACGTCGTTGCCGTTCTTCCCCTAAACCCCACAACACTACTGTGTCCATATAAACGCAATGTTTTTTTTTTGCAATTAATATAACCAATAATCAACAATCTCAACTAATATTTTAATAAACATTTAATAGTTATTCGCACTTAAATTCAATAAGTATTTCAAGCAAGTTATGCAATACAATAAATATTGCAGTTTCCTTTCCTTGCTTTCATATTGCAAAAGCTTTTTACTGCCTCATTACTGCGAATTTGTTAGCAAACGAACATTATATTATACGATTGCTTGTTTTAATCACCCTTTAAAGAATTCTCTGAAATAATAAACACAATTTAAAGAGAGCTTCAAAAACGGCAGTTAAAACGCTTTTTATGAGCTTTCAGGCAAACGTATTGCTTGTTATGCTATGAGTGGTCTCTTCGCACAACGAGTACAGTTTTCTTTGAGTGATCGGTATTTTGAGTACACAATTTATGGGTGCGTTAAAGATGAATTTCATATCAGTATTGAAAGTGGTTGCCTGGCACTGTGGCGTCTGGCGCCGGCACTATCTAACTAAGACGCCACGAGTTATACTGATTTAGCACAAAATAGGAAGCAAACAGAAGGTCGTCTCACATTATTTAACTTTGCATTTCATAATTGGAATTGTTTTATTTTATTGTTCTTTTTTATTTGATGGAATGACTATGCTATTTTATTTTCTGTAGTCTGTAAAGATAGTGCAGCTATTGATTTGGACAACATGTGTCGCTAGTCATGAATAAATTCTGCTGGAAACTGCGTGAGAATGCCTGTAAAAGTGACGTCAATGTGTGCGACAGAAATGAGTGTGCATCATCAGCCTGTTAATGTCGCCACTGCTGAGGCACAGGCCTTCCCCATGGACGGAATAGGGATATTGGGCCATGACCCGCTACGAGGGCCTAGTGCGGATTGACAGGTGTTAACGACTGCAGTTGCAGCCGGGACAAATTGCTTAACGTACCGTCTGAAGCACGCAGGAACTCGAAACAGAAGATTTTTGGTCACCCATCCAATGACCGACCATTACAAAAACCATCCGAACGCGCTAACCACCTGCGCCATCGAGCTCCTCACGAGAAATGAGTGCAAACAACCTTAGGGCTGCTTGATGGTATACGGCCACCACAGCCTATATCACGGTTGTAATTCAAAAAAATCTCTCGCGCCGTTACTTAACCTGTATCATCCCCTACCCCGTGGAGCCCTGAAACCGCGCTCATCACAATGACTCACGACAGAAACACAACACCACCAAAAGGTAGTGTTATTTTACTGTGTATTCTGTAAGGTGGAAGTTACTTCCCCAGACGGGCGTTCCAATTCGAGCAGAATATCCGCTATGCCATAAATCTCTTCCGTGACGTCACAGAAATGACTGTTAAATGACTGCTTGAACGCGGCTGTAACGTACTTTGCGGTTATACTGTCTCAGGACTAGGACGACTTTTAGAATAATCTCCGAACCTTAATGGATGGATGAACAATGAACTTAATGTTGTTGCTTACATATACGTTGTTGACTATTATTTTAAACAACATGGTTATATAAATAGGATATTTACCTTATTAAGTCATGAAAATATTTTTCATTTCAGATAAACAAACAAAACTACTTCGATTCTTCATTGAAACTGGTGAAAAAGTAAGTAGTTTGGATTTTTTGTTTTACGCTACTCACGTTACCTTCCTTTCACTAGATTTTAAAAATGATATATTTATACCTGCTTTTATGGTTTTAAAGAGCACTTAAGCAAAATGTTACGGCTGATAACTGAAATAATATTTGGGAACAACTGCACCTAAATACACAATAGGGGTGATGACGGGGTACAGTAAACGAAATTCTATTTAGTCCGTCAGTTAGATGATCAAAAAATAATGGACACGTATTTTTTCTTTGGGCAATCAACCAAAAAATGACAAAGTTATAGCGCGTCAAAGTTCGGGAGTAGGGGCTCTTGAAGTCACTTTTTAGTGAATATCCGCAATTTATATCTCAACTAGCTGACCCAGCGAACTTCGTACCGCCATAAAAAAAATTAATTAAAAAAACATTGTCCAGCGGACAAAATTGTGAATCTAAACCATTCTCAGATCCCCTTGAACACACACAAAAATTTCATCAAAATCGGTCCAGTCGTTTAAGAGAAGTTCAGTGACATACACACTCACAGAAGAATTATATATATAAAGATTACTCAAACGTGACGTCATGCGACTTTTCAAATCAATATATCTCTGCAATGTTTATATTATGTGAAAAAAAAAAATACGTGTCCAATACTTTTTGATAATCTACCTGATAAACTAAAAAAAAAATAGTCATCATCCGTATTACTTTATTTTTTGACTTGTATTACCAGACTGACTAGTAGTCAAATTGGGCCTATCCATACAAAAAAATCATCAAATAACGCCATCAGCGTGGTCAGGTTCAATCAATGTTATCCTATTGCTTAAAATACGAAGTGTGCGAATTTAAACTTGTACCGCAGCATAAAAGAAGTAGTAACATTAGATTACGATTTTCTAATCAAAATTTGCTGTAAAATTGTTCAAAACAATGTCTATTTTTTGCGTTTTAAACCTTTTTTTTAATTTATAAGCTCTTACTCATCCAAAGCCATACAATAATCATGCGTCCACACAACATCTCTTACATTTCGTCACCGAACTTTCGACTAAGGCACTAAGTTTCCTAGTGCACCATCTTGTAAGGTTGCCAAATTTATCACCGACTTACACTCCTTAAATAAATACTGGTTAAAAAATAAAATACAAATCTGGCTTCTGACTTTAAGCTGTATAGATACTGAGGGCTTTTTGACTTTTAAGTAACTCATAATTGTAATTGTAAATACACACACACACACCCACACATAAATTACCTTGCATTTTTTTCTCTCTTTATTCTTTACGGTCAGGGAATCATTTTACTGATGTTACTTGTAGGGACACATTATATTTTGTTGAGTTTACGTAATTTTATGCCCTACATCATGCTTATACTATACCAAATGTAATGCGTATGTATGTGTGTGTCGGCAGCTACGCCGGCACATTTATATAATTTAATTTCAGTCGCAATAGAGCTATAAAACCTTAATGTGTTTTCGTATTTTCCAAATCCTTCTGAATACGGACTTATAGTAATGCAATAACATAAACCATACATTACCTTTATACTACCTATATTCTTAAGTATGTTAATTGTAACACAAATTGGAAATAAAATTATTATTATTATAGTGCGTGGGATCTAAAGAATCTAGGTACCCGAAACCCTCTATCTTTTTCCCAGCGTGTGAGAAAAATATCCACGAATATAGTACAGAGTGCCTTAATAGCAATTATATAAGTGCAATACGTTGCAAACTACGAACGCCCATGAGCACAATAAGCTTTATTACCTACCTATACACTCATACCTACAGCAGCATTTCGACCTCACTGAACCAACATTATTCGCTGACAAGGACTAATCCCGCAGAACTCCAACCTCATAACTCAGGCTAAATAGTCAACAGGTTTGGCCTTTAAGCATGTTTCTAAACCGGGAAACGGTAAATTACAATGAACCAGGATTTCTCAGAGCAGCCGACCGATTTTGCCCTTCGCTGTTGATAGAAGAGGTTGCAACCGTGCGGAACAAATTACTTTGGCCGTGGTGGGATTTAAGAGAAAGACGCTATTAAGCCTTTAACTAAGTCAAATAAAGTAGTTAAGTATTTGGCGACTCGTTTCTCTGTCGACCAATTCGAAATTGGAATTCTCTGCCCGCATACCTGTTCCAACCTTTCCTCATGTTGCTGGCTAAATCAATACGTAAAAACTGTTTTTCTTAAGTGTATCTAAAGAAATTCAGGTTACAAACGGGAATCGAAACCGCACCTTCCGATATCCGGGCTGAATATTTTTATTAGATTTAAATATCTTAAGTAGATAGAGATTTCATGACCTGCAATCCCCAGGGAATATTTAAAGCGTGAACAAACGATTATGTGTTAAAGCTGCGTAAGGATATCGCGTTCCTTTGCTACGCGTAGTCAGGGATACGATGTCCACGCGTTCATCGGATACGCGTGCAGATCGCCGTGAACCTAAACGCAAGGCTGAGCGATCCATAGCGCTACGCAAGCCCCGTCAGTCATTATTATTCAAAATTGAATCGTCATTGCGTCGGTTTGTTCCGCGCGGGCGAGTTTCCTACAACGTGCGACCAAAACCCGACAGACGCGGTGACTCGTCGAGTCAACTCACACGCGGTATGCGCTCCTTAGGAGTAAACGCGCTATCCGTACGCAGCTATAAAATACAAGTTTAGGGATTCAGGTCAGGATATCTTATTTCAAGACACGTCATAATATGACATTAAATTAGAGCTATTAATCATTTGCACATAATGAAGATTATGATTTAAAACTTGCCAACATATGCGCGCATTTCAGCGTGCTCCCAAAAATCCTTTCAACATATTACCAGTGACGCATTCAAAATTTTATAAAGAGTCTAGTTAAACTATAGAATAATAAATTTTCCAAAATTTCTTTAGAATTACAGAGTTTACAGATTGCCTGTAACACAAAAAAATATCACAAAGTTTAGGTATTGGGTCCGATTGGGTCTTAATTTAAAGGTGGCTTCATTTCCAAATAGTGTATGATCCTAATAGGATGTTAATCCTGTTTCAAAGTTAAATGTACCATGGGCGTTATCGTGTCAGCTCGATAATAGCCGGAGTTTGCTAACCGCAGCATGGCTTATCTGGTCCTAAGTTAGGGTGAGAAGTTACGAGCTTCAGTATAAAACATTTTATGTGTACCATTTTTGCATACATTTACTGTTAGAATAAAGCGTGGTTGTTTTAAATAAATAAATTTTTAACGCGTGTTTTTAAATCATTGAAAGCAGCGCATATTAGGTACTTATTTAAATCCTTTTTAAGAAGATCACGAAGAGTATTCTTCAGGATTTCGTGATCTATAGTTTTGGCAGTCAAAACAGGCCAAGTGCGAATCATATTTAATTTTGCTCAGGAATATAATTAAACGAGATGTTGAACAAGTTTTAGCTACATATGTGAAAAAAAATTTGTTCCGTTATTAGCTTTAAAAGGAAAACATAGGTATTCAGTGATAATTTGATCAGTCTACCTATTATGACTTACGGGATCAGATGATGCCTGCTAACAGATAAAGATATCCGAACAGGTAAACAGCAAAGGCGTATCGTTCTCACCCTTTGGTACGAAGCCTTAGAGTATTGTTATTAAGCTCACAAAACCTTTATAATCGTATTTAGGAATAATAGTACCTAATTTATTTTTTCTAAAAAATCACAACAGTGAGCCGTTTCACATAGCTGAATCTATAGAAAAAAATGCTCAAATAAGCTCTTTAAGTCAACGTAGTCGTGAAAGCGTACATATAGGCCCAGTGCGGGTTGGTGTGTAATCAATAAAAGGTAGCTGTAAATACATCCGTAAGAAACATGGATTAATTTTCATGTAGCCTCCCATCATCCTAAAAACGAGATTGATACACTTTGCTTGACCACAGGAACTGTACAGCAAACACGCCGGCAAACTGAAATGTAATACTAAATAAAAGCCTTTTTAAGCGCGAACTACTTAAAATTAAATTTAAACATCCAGCAGTAACATGCTTAAAAAATTATAACACTTTTAAAAGATTTTAAGAAGCCTTTGCTCTTTTACGTCACTTACATTCGTTACAGATTTAAGTAGGTACTGTCTTTTACTTGCATTCTATATTTTTCGCTGCAAAAGACATAAGTGGCATCACTAGGAAGCCACCGTCACACAAAAGCTCGCGGGGCTGTGGCCTGATTCCTGCCCTTAAACTGGAACAAACCAAGCTGTATTTCATTCAAGTTTTTTTTTAACTCTCGCTCAATAGATTTTCATTTTTGTTATGACTTTAGTAGCAATATCGTTTCCTTGATGTCGTGGCTTCGGCGTTGGGCCTAAAATGTTGCCTGGCAGTATTGGTAACTGGGTTCCAAACTACAAAATAATTGGCCTTTTGCTAATAATCAAATTCGCAATGAAAAGTTTCATACTTTTGTTCAAGACTTACCACAAAGTCAAGAAAAATATGCCTAATTAAATGATTTCTTTTAGTATATTTTCATTCTATAAATACATATATCATTTTTGACTTAAATTTAATCCCTAAAATGTCAACACTACCTTTTATCAATTCACGTGATTCTGAAATCGTTGCGAAACAAAACAGAAAATTTTATTATCCTCCCCGGTCGTTGTATTATGCATTTGATTTTTCCCCAAAAAACTGCATTAGTTACATTTTCGCAGTTATAACTACGAAAGATAAAAAATAAAAGATGCCAATGAAGATATATGGTGCAGGGTGCCCCTGTACATATATCTTTATGTTTTGGCTGTATTGGCAACCAGCACGCTACATAGTTGTGTAGCATGAAACCCCGTGAGGAAACCTACTCGTAACACAAAGTTTATCCATTGTCAAGAACACAATAATGTATCACGAGCATCAAGAGCTTCTAAACTAAAGTACGTAACAACTTATTTCATTGAAATTGCACCTTGTCTCAATATATTTACTTTATTAACCTACGTATAGTCAGGCCATTTTTTAG